GTCTTCTGTCACAAAACATTCAGAATCTGACTCTAGTTTTAACACATTACCAGGCACAGAAACTATCTCTTCATTGTTTTGTATAACACCGAGTTTGGAAGAAGCAAAGTGAAGTGAGCTATAAGTTTCATTTTCATGTGTTGTTTTAATACGTTTGGCTGAAATACAAGCAGAGACTGGCACATTCCTTTCTTCGGTAATCACATGTTCCAATAAGTCAGCAAAGTTAGAAAAGCACATTTTACATATATTACACTGTTCTAGCTCAGTTAAAGATATATTTTTATGTGGTGGGGAATAACGAACTTTATTTATTTCATCACTTTTGATACGAGGACATGCTGGACTTTGACTACTTTTAAATGATTTCACCGAGTTTTCTTGAGGAGAATGGGAACAACATAAACACTGAGGAGGTTTTCTGTTTCTCTTGCTTCGAGTTGGAACATTTTTTAAGGGAAATTTCACATTCACAGATTCACTAAAGATTTTTTTTGCTTCATAAGTTTTGAATCCTTTACCTCAGAATTACTTGTGAAACTACCAGCACCATGGACAGGACCACATAATAATTTTTCAAATGAATCAATCCGTTTTTCATTTTTTGTTTTCTTCCGACGACTTTTGCACTTGCTATACTTTACTTCAGACCTGTTTGTATACAGAACCCGGTCACTCGATTTGTCATTTACTTCAGCTGAATTCTTCTTCTTATCGTTCTCCCAGAATCTAATTCGATTTTCAATTTTTGGGGTTCCCGAGTTCTCCAATCTTCTACCATGCATTACAATCTGCTCACTGTTATGTTTCAATTTCCTATGGCAGTTCACAGGCACTTCCTGGATAGAACAATCTAACTTTTTTATTTTGTTTTTAAATCTATCTTGACAAGCAACAACTTTTCGTTTCTTTAATTTCTGATAATGGTGGTCAGATTTCTTTCCATCAATAGTGAGCTGATCGTCCTGTACCTTCTTAACTTTTTGCCTCTGTGTTGTATTGTAATAATACTCTTCAGTCTTATCTTTAAATTCATTTTGCAACTCCAGGTAAATCATATTCAAGTCTATCTCCTTGGACTCACAATTCTGATTGTTTAGTGAGTTTTCATTATTCAGTAGAAACAAATCTTTTACTTTAGATGTTCCATCTTGATGTGTTGAGGTGTTAATATCTTTATCTGACTCTCCCATTAAATTTACCCCCTTATCTCTTTTGTATGAATGTCTCAATTTGTTCCAACTTGTTTTCTGTGCCATACGTATTTGCATATTTTCTTTTTTATCCTCAACTTTTATGAAGTTTTCAAGGTTTTCTTCATGTAATTTTCCCGGTTCATGTTTAAAAGTAATTCCTTCATTTTCAACTATTTGATGACTATCAGCCTGCTTTGTGGTTTCTTCAGAATTTTTGATCTTCTTCCCTGGCTGTTGTTCTTTTTCCTTTTGCTTACGGTTTTCAAACTTCAGATAATTTTTGCATATTGAGCTTTCACCTCTACACTCTTTCCCTGGTTCTTGAGAAAATGTTCCCTTTTCATTCTGACAAGTGATATCCTCTTTATTGTTTATTTGCTGTCTAACTGCCTGTTTTATAGTTTCTTGATTATCCATATACGCCTCTTCTACGTGTAACTTCACAGCATCTTTTAGCCTATTATCAATCTTCTGTTTGACTTCATCTTTAAAGCCTTTCCACTGTTTCCCATTAAACTGTAAAACATTTTCTTGACTGTTTTCAAATTTACTTTCAGAATCAATGATCTCTTCATTTTTTTCAGGTATTATCTCATATTGGTATTCTTTTTCTTGATCTTTCTCAGAAAGTGGATATGTTTCACCTTCCTTCTCGTCTTCTGGTTCATTTAACTGTTGCATTAATTCTTGATGTTCTTCGGTTTTTTCTTTACAACATGAGCTGTCTTTATCACATGTTTTACCAGTTTTTTTCCCGAAACTCTTATTTATTTTACCAATCAAATCTAGATTATGATTGGTATCAAAACTGTGCTCTTTTGTTAAAAGTTTGGGAGATTTGGATTTTGCAAGAAGTTCATTTTCCAGTTTTCTCACTTCTTTTGATTCTTCACATAAAAACTGAGTGTGCATTCCACAACTTTCTTCATTTCCTTTCACATTTTTCAAATAATCTTTTTCTAGCTGTGAAGTATGGAAAGCTTCCTCATAATTATTTTGAAATTTTGTTTTTTCATTTTCCTCATTTAACTTTTCTAAGAAAAGTTTCGATCTTTTATAATTTAATTCTTTTAATAGATTTGAAGCTTTAGAGTATTCCTTCTCAAATAACTGTTTCTTCCATTCTTCGTTGTCATTCTTTGTTTCATGATTTTCATCAGTCTTTTGTTTCAGTTTTCGAATATATACCTGGATTATTTCTCCAGACATGTTTTGTTTCTCATTAAATCCTCTTCTTTCAATTTTCTCGACCTTATTTACTTGTTCCCCACATAAATCACTTTGTTTATCCAGAAGTACATAGTCATCCATTAATTCTAGTTGTTCTGTAATGAACGTTTCTTCGTACATTTTTCCCGTCTCTTCCAGTCTCTTTTGTAAATTCTCTTCCTCCACATTTGTTTCAGCTGTGAATTTCTGAGAAGAGAACTTGTTTTCCATAACCTTATTTTCAGGAAACATAGTATAATCGTGGTCTGCTATACAATGAGATTCAAAATTTCTCCCGTTCCCTTCAAACGGTAGCAAGTGTTTGTTATCGCATACATGTTCGCTGCAATAACTTTCAACTACTTCATTGTTTAATTTCTGCTCGGAAGAAGTATTTAATAGTGGGGCTTGAAATTTTAACTGAGGCAGACTGACTTGCTCTTCCTCCACACAAATGTATTTCTTGTCTTCATGATGCGCTGACTTAACAGCTGATAACTGTGATTTGCATTTTTCCTCAATGCATGTAATCAAATGTTCATTAAGTTTCAGATTTTTTGGCATTCTGCTGTAATTTCTAAGAGTAACTTTTCTGACTCCATATTTTTTCAATGTTTTATTTATTCCAAGTTTTTCTTTGGTACTTTTTTTATTTGTATGTTGTTCTAAAATATAAGGTTCACTGGTAGACAGCTTTGGTAATATTTCCTTTTCAAATAGATTTTGTGTATTTTTCTTTATCTTAATTTTCAAAGAAGGTTTTTTGGAGGTCTTCATTTTTCTGATGGGCAGTTTTTTATTGACTTGTTTTTTACACGTTTTATTATTATTATCCGTGTTAGACTTGTTTTTCATGATTCTGACCTTCAAAGTATCAACAGATTTTCCTAATTGTGAAACTGTCTTTAGAACTATATTTTTGCTGGGACGTATACTCTTAACTTGAATTTCCTTACGTTTCTTTCCCAGTTTTTCGCTTGCTGGGACATCACGTACTTCATTGCTTTTCTCCTTTGTTTTTGTAAAATGAGATGGTCGTTGATAATTAACGATTTCTTCCACAAAATCGTCAATCCGAGTTATACTGACCACCTTAAAATCATTTTCCTCTTTTCTGTGGGTATCTCGTGTGTGTACTCTTACACCAGATGCTGAAACTGCTTGAAATGAGCAATGTATGCACTTGTAAGGTCGATACTGTAAGTGACTAAAAATGTGTCGCTTCAGAGTTACAATGTCCCTTTTATACCGTTTACAAATAGAACAGAAATACCTGTCAACAGCACTTTCACTTGAAGATTTGTTGGGGTATCTGTGAAGTGACACGTAGCTTTTACTGCTTTGAAAATCTATCAAGCGCTTGATCCATTCTTCGATTTCCGGCATGGTTCTACGTGTAAACGAGACCTTCTGATTACAGTGAGTTTTCTGAAAATGATCTGAAAGTTCAACTTCCTTTATAAAATCTTCAGAACAGAATGCACAAAGAAACGTCTTGTAGCCAGTCTCCTGATGCAGATGTGATTCAAAGCTTCCTTTTACCTTACTTTTGTATTCACAGAAAGGACAACTGTAAGTTGTCTGTGATGACTTTGTTCTGGCTAAAGCCATGATGATTTTTTCGATCTGAAGGATCAATTCTGAATAACCACACCCACTTAAACAAATTTTTTCCACAAACCTTTTTAGCACATGCTGGGCTAATAATAGATGAAATCTTTCTGAAAAGAGAAAGGAAAAGACAGTAACTAATAAAGGTATAAAAATGTTTTTCAAAAAAAACAAAAAACAGACAACTTGCTTGCATAAGGGATAACTTTTTTTTACACAGTTTACGTTTCTTAATAATATTCATATTGCACTAATAAACATAAGTAATATATAATATACAGTTATATACACACACGAAAGAAGTTGTTGATTTTTTTTCTACCCTTAACTTATGTTATGGAAGTATACATAACTACTACTCTGCCATAGAAAAAAGTAATCTTGAATTTATGTAACAAGGTTATCAATTACACATGGTTTGTTTATTATAACAATGTAACGAAACCATGTTTATCTTTAGTTACATTGTTATAATAAATAAAGATAAACATGGTTGATTTATTATAACAATGTAACTAAAGATAAACATGGTTTCTTTATTATAACAATGTAACTAAAGATAAACATGGTTTCTTTATTATAACAATGTAACTAAAGATAAACATGGTTTCTTTATTATAACAATGTAACTAAAGATAAACATGGTTAATCTTTATTATAACAATGTAACTAAAGATAAACATGGTTTCTTTATTATAACAATGTAACTAAAGATAAACATGGTTAATCTTTATACAAAGCTTAAGAAGTTTGACAATTCAACCTACATCATATTTAAGACAATGCTGAGGAAAAGCATAAAGTTATTTCATGCACTAGTGCTTTGGGGGGAGTTACCTTACCGTTCAAGGAGATTGTGTCGCCCCCTATTGATGGAGGACTGTTGTAACATGATGATACTATCACGCACTAGTGCAGTTCATGTTAAATATGTGATTTTTTTGGTGGGAGTTAGCTCAAGAATATTGGCATGCAAATACCGTGGACAGGTGCTCAATGGATGAAGCTAGCTATTCTGTATGGGGAAGCCCAAAAGTGTAGATATATTGAACAGCCTAAAGGAAATAAGGAGCATTTAAATTGAGAAATTCTTAAAATATCAGTGTGTGATCTATGCAAAATGGAAAGAAGAAATACCTCTAGGTACTCTTGGATGGATACCAGAAGTACAGAGAAAATCTTATTAGAAACAATGAAAGGAACATCAAAAATGGAATGAATCAAACTTCAAATGTATCAGTAAATCGTGGGAAATCTGGGGAAAGACAGAGAGAGAGAGAATGAGACGTCACTGAAACTCTGTTTGTTAAAACCACCAAACAGAGTGAATAAAGTACCAAAGGAAGCAAACAAAACTCAAATGCTGAAGGAACAGTTGTGAGATGAAAAAATATCTGAACTAAGTAGAAGTGGCTCATGTACTCCAACCTGAAATATCCAAACAAGGGCAATGGGTTAATGCAGTAGATAACATTGTCAGGTTTTCTCTGTTCATGAAAGAAGGTATAAAATCCATCAGAAATCATCCTCATGAAGACTGAAGTTTACCCAAAGGTATGGAGAAAAAGATCATTAAAAAAACCACAAAAACCAAGACAAAAATAAATAGGAAATTAGTGTGAATTACACAACAAAAAATCATGGCAGAAATGACATCACAACCAGTTTGTGTTGGAATAAATACAGTCATTTGAAAGAAAAACAGTAGAAAACATCCTACACATACCATCACACTAAGCCATCCAGTATAAGGCATAAAATGACAGATGAGTAAAAGCAAAAAAAACTTACAATGAGAAAAAACCATATCCTTTAAAAAAAAATGTTTGTTCCATGCTGAATGATATCACAGAACACAGAAAAACAAGATGTTAAAAAATATTGTCAGCAGGACATATACCCAGTTTCTCAGCTCAGTGGTTTTCAGAAACCTATCCTTTATATGCACCGAGTTAGTAGGGTACGAGAGCGTTAGGTTTGTTTAAGAATTTCATGCAAACCTACACAAGTGCTATTTGCATATAGCCGTCCCTCCCTAATTTTGTAATGACAGACTGCAAGTAAGTCAGATAGTTAAACCACCACCAGCTTTTGAATTATCTCTTACCCGGCTGAATAGTGGGATTTTATCATATCACTCTTACAGCAGACACACCCATACACAGTCCCTATGTACAAAACATGTTTCACACCAAGATGATCTAAGCCATGAATCTGAAAACATTCAAAACAATGAAACAAACCAGTTCTGAAAAGGGCACGAAATAGAGAGCATTCAGTTGGAAAAATATTAAAAACAAATCCAACAGTAAACAATATATGTATACATATATATGTACTGCAGAAGAAAAGAATTCTCATTGGAAAAACAATAAAAAGAGAACAGAAAGAGTAAAAATGACTTTGACAGACAAACAATTAGCAAATCTATCAAACTGATTGATTAACCTTTAACCTTCGAATTATCAACATTTATATACCACATATTCCATAATATTGGGTAATTTTATGTTTGATACAACCCTCATTATAAAAAACTATCCAAAAACACTGTGTGAAATAATACATTTTCTATATAAAATACACATAATGGACAATGAGAAGAACATGGCAAGAAGTGTTGTGAATTAAAGACAACACCCTGGAAAGAAGTTGAAGAAGAGGTTAGGCATAAAGAAAGAATATGGATTAATCCAGACACAGATGGGATATTGTTAGGGCCATGGAGTCTTGGACTGGTGACCAAAAAAGTGGAAGTTTGGTGTAGAGGACTCCCAATGTGGTAACAAATCTACAAAGACACAATACCATTCTTTCTGAAGGATTCAGTCCAGATCACAGCTGATTCACCACCAAATTCAAAGCTCCTATAACATGAAAGCCCAACAACCAGATGCTGTTGTTGTGAATCCAAAAGTGGAGCTTAAGAACAAGAAGCTGAAATGTTAAATATTTGTATATTTCTTCCTAGAAAACAAGAAAATAAAAGTTAGGAAGATAATACTTCAAATGTTAACCAAAAGTTTAAAATGATAAGTTCAAAGATTTCAGAATTTTAATTACAAAATAACATGATGAATCACTGCAGTCTTGGAGAAAAGAATGAGCCTTTGATATACACAAAATACTCAAAGAGACTCTCTGTTAGATATAAAAGACTGTTTAGTTTAGGTAGTATTATTAATTTATTTATTTTGTGTTTGTAATTCATTGATGTCGAGGCTATCGAATGTTGTGTGCAATCCACTGATGTTAAGGCTTTAGAGATTTCTAGAAGGCCTAAGTGACAGATTTGTAAATAGCTGTGGCCAGATGAGCGGAAACTGAGAAAGTTTAAAAAGTCACGGGAAAGAGACGTTCGATGAGAGAGGAGTTAGAAAATGTAAAGTTAACCATCACAGGAGTGAAAGGCCTAATGGGTGATATGTTAGAGTGAGATTAATAGTTTGAAAGAGATAATTTGTCTTGTCAAAGGGTGTTCTAAGCTAGTTGAACCCACCAGTGTGGACTTTGATGAAAAACAGATGTTTATTTGGAAGCATGAAAAAGTAGATGATTATTGGAAGTACAAGATACAACTGCAGTAACTCATACAATAATGTACATGAATTACATACGGATAGTATTGCGATAAAAATAGTTTGGTTTGTCAACTGAATTGGCCTAAGTGGACTTTTTGACAAGAACTGTAAAGTGTTTAAGATACAACTATGATCTCCATAGTGTAAAGAATTTTCTATGTATGTTCAACTTGTTTCTAGTATATATATTATTTTAAAAACAAGTGGAGTGCATGCTGTTTGTTTATTCTGAAATTTATCGCCAACAAGTCACAGACACCTACTTTAGAAGAATCCTTAGCCCAACACACTCATATACTTGTTTTAATGTATACTACTAAAAAGCAAGTTTCTGACATTTGGCGAGCCAGCCAGGACTATACAGTGGTAAACGGCAGAAGAAGAAAACTTGAATGACAGTGAAAGTAAGAAGGCCTATATATAAACAACTGTAGTAGTACTGCAAATAGTTTGGAGATTACAATCAAGGTATATCATATCATCAGACTTTCATAAATGAGTAAAAAAAGGAGAGCGTCTCAGGTTAAAAGAAAATGAACTACAAGAGTTTGTTAAACAACAACAACAAGAATTAGAGAGGGAATAATGTAGACAAAGAAGAGAGAAAGAAGGACTAAAGAAAGAAAAGGAAATAAGAGCACAAATTGAGATTGCAAAACTCACCCAACCGAAGGAAGTAGGACCCAAGAATGACAACGGAGTCAGGGCCAGCCGACCCAAGCTGCCCAAATTTGATGAACAGAAAGACGACATGAATGCTTTCCCTGAGAGATATGAAACATTTGCCCAGAGTCAGAACTGGGGCAAAAGCAACTGGGTAGTCTGTCTCAGCCCACTTCTCACAGGAAAAGGCCTACAAGTATATGCAGGCATGATGTCAGAAGATGCCATGGACTATGAGAAATTAAAAGTGGCTTTACTAAAACGATATGAACTTACTGAAGAAGGTTTTCATTGGAAGTTCAAAGAAGTCAAACCCAACACTGGAGAAACTGTATTTCGGTTTGTGGCACATCTACAGCAATACTTCACAAGATGGATTGACATGGCCAAATATGACAATAGTTTTGAGGGATTGGGAGATCTACTAATATGTGAACAGGTCATGACCACTTGGTCAGATGACATGTCACTGTACCTAAAGGAGATAGCACCAAAATACGTAGACGAGATGAACAAGCTGGCAGAACAGTATATGGAAGCCCATAGAGGGAGTACAACTGGCAAGTCCAAGAATGTCCAGTTAAATTTGAAACCAGTGATGGCTGACCAGGAGCAGAAGTCTACCAAAAGTGACAGGAGGTTAACAGACAGAAGGGAAAAAAGAGATGTTATGTTTCTTATAAAATGGGGCACATTGCAAAGGAGTGCAAGTCCATTACCAGCAAGGAACAGCAGAAATCTCAACATAAAGTAGCTGAAGCTATTTACAAAGACAGTGCTGGTAAGAAACAAGAAAAGAGTGGCTGGCACCATGGATAATACTTCCAGAAGAAGCAGAATCAAGAAAACACATCAGATTTACCACA